TAATACCTTCCAGTTCTAGGTGAGCCGGCCAACCAGTGGCTTGAAAACAGCAAAAAGCGCGGGGTTCTTTTTTTTCGCGGCCCCCTCACCAACCCTTGGCTGGTTGTTCTCTGTCTTTGTGTGCCTTCGTCCGCTGCTTCTTTATTGCAGTTGCTTTTATTGCGTCGTTGTAGAGTTTGGTATTCACAAATACAACCCTGCAAAGGTCGGAATCCAAAAACGTCGCCCTGATATGGCAATCCTTGACCCTTATCTTCGCGTGGTGAAACTGCACGAAGAGTGAAACGTGAAGTACGCAAATAGTTCATTCTTCCAATATCTTGGAAGAACCGCTCTCGGAGACGAGTGTACAGCACGTGCCCAACTTCAACGGCCTGGATCAATAACCGTGTATCCCATTCACAGCTAAGAAAAGAATATGTAGAGTAGTTCAAATCAGCGCTGTAAAGCCTTCGTTCCATTGTTTCCTTAATCAGCTCAAACGTAAGTCATGTGTGATGATCTACAACGTTTACGGGGTTTGAGGCAAACTGGAGCACTGGAAAGTCGATAAGGTGTATCACAAAGAGCACGTCCCAGTGCTTCAAGTTTCTAGCTGTTCTCAAGCTGAAACCGTTATAATCTGCGCTGATTGGAGCTAACACTTTTGCGGAATTTCTGTCAAATCACCTGACGTGTTCTGTTTCAAGTCAAGATGAGCTGATCTAAAGCGTGAATATCAGAGGATGAGAGGGGACAAGGCGGCCCTCGTGGCTTAGTGGTGAGCACACTAGGCCGGCAAACCTGAAGTGAAGATTCGTGTCCTGTCTAGGGTGTATTTTTATTGTCCATAACTAAGGATTCTCGTAATAGTGACTTCTACATTTCCTAAAATACGAGAGCTTCTACCCATTCTGTCTTTCAGTTCTTCAATTACCCGCACACCATCAACAATCTGCTTATCGTTGTACTGACATGTTTACTTTATGTGCAATACTCAAGAGTACTTTTACGTCACTCGAAAGGGGCTAGCGGGCTATCATGGGCGCAGAAATCGGTGAGCTCGTAATTCGGACTACTCGTTTTCTTTTTCAAAATTCACATAGGTTTTCTTTTCGAATCCCCTCCAGTTGAAAATAATTTCACAAGATGAGATCCTCGGGTTGTAGTAGAGTTCTGTTTAACTCTTTGGTCGTTTAGTTCTTCATACAATCTTCCTCAATATGTATGGCAAATTTGATTGCGGCACTCATCTATGTCTACATGCAGTTCTTCCCCACGCCGTCATATTTCGTTTTGATTGGTCACATTTGCTGGCAGCTTGGACATGGTAATGTCACCCGTTTTTCTACACAGTTTCATTGAATGTAATTTCTACTCATGATACTTATGACTATGATAACGGCTTGAAGGCCTTCTTGGTTGCACTCAAAATGAGCCACGTACTTAAGAAACCCCTTTACTTCGGGAACTGCTATCAATCCCGTGCACTAGGCTGGCTTTTCCCGATTCATTCCATTCAAGTGCGGGTACAGTACGGCTCCGTAGAGACGCTAAATGGTCCCAGCGGATCACCCTGTGAAAGTCTTTAAACTACTCTGAGCAAGGTGGACTGAGTGCGGAGGTGGTGTAGTGGTAAGTGATCTGCTCCCCACGTGGAAGGTGAAATCCAGGACCCAGCTACAGTTCAGACCAGTGAAGTCTCACGCCTTCCGGGACTGTAAATTGGCACCAGGTTTTTCTGGAAAGGTAGAAACACTGACTTGCACATCGTCTGGCTCTGGGAAGCCATGTATAAGTTATGTCCCATTCATTAAGCCAAAACGATCCTGAATGTAAGTGGAATGCGTGCCGCAACCGAAACGGGATTGAGTAGCCGAAACTTTTCCCTTATGCTTCGAAGAGGATCACTAGTACAACACTTTACAACAGCCTCACTTTGGGGCGAAAATCAGTTGTTTCATTCCATTTGACACCAGCGAGAATTAGCGAAAGAGCAGAGTGAAAATATTTCCTTCCCCTACTAAGCCGAACTGCGAATAAGCGCTTCCAGAGTAATTTCAAACTATTCTTTTCAGAAGTAGAATTTCCTAGCTAAAAAAGAAAAATCTTTTGAACACACACGAGACGCATCCTCTGATTTTCGCTCCGAATTGCAGCATGAAGTAGAACACCAAGTGCCGGGACAGTGCATGATGCTGCTACTTTTGAAAGTATCCTAATGAGCCCCAATTAAATTATCACTTTCAAACAGTGTCGCCTTGGCACAAAGTGACCATATATATGGAGAGAGACTGTCTGAGACAAGCTATCATCTGGCCTCATAAGCTAAAGTCATCCTCTTCTTCACCCACCGTCTCACAAACCCTGTATCCGTGAAACAAAATCGCCTCGTTGGGCAACAGCCTTGCTTGTGCCCGTTTATAGCTACTTCAAAGCGTCAAGCTGAAATTAATGGATTCATAAAAGAAAATGGGTCAGAAGTGGTCGAAATGTCGATACAAACAGAACACATCGAAAAACTTGTACCTTTAAGGGTTTCCTGCAATCGTTTACTTACTACTCAACCGCACAATTCAACGAGAGGCACTTACAACACTGGGACTTCGCAAACGTCCTAACGCCGTGGTTCCCAGTATTAGCACTGCTCGAAAGACAATGACGAATTCGTATTCACAGCACTAGGCGTTTGGCTGATAGCTGCTTTGAAAAGGAAATGCATATGTTGGAAAATATCTACCGCAACACCATTTTATATTTCCAAAAAGGAGCTTGTTTCGAATGCGTATCTAGGCCTAATGTAGATGAAAGCATCTCTTTTGAAATCAACCATTCTCCTGTGCGCTGCTGCTTCGTGAAATGAACTCGAGTGTTGTCCAAGATTATCCATTGTTTCCTCCTTTGTACTGGATAGTCGCTTAGGCTTAGAAAGTTTGACGTTACGAATGATTCGTTGTAAAAGAAACACTATACTTGAGCAGTTTTTACGAGAAATTGTACAAATTACATGTTGTACATATATGATGATTTTCACCTTTAGTGGTCACAGTATTAAATAAAGCTCTCTCGAAACGTAATCTTTATGTTTGCAGATCATTGTTAAGTCACTTTACACACGTGCAGGCAACCCTGGAAGACGACCTCGCTATACTGCAGCATGATTTTAAGGTCTTTTCAAAGCCATGGAGTCAGAAGTTTTCAGGCCTGCAAGCCCTGACATTCAGCCAGCCTGTAGATTCGCCCACCTGTTGACTCAAAGCGAGTTCAATTCAGAGTGAAAAGACAGCTCCGACAACGGCTGTGTGGCCCTAGTCGCCACGGTCTAGGACATCATCTTCACTACAGTCGCCAAGGCGCCGGGATGGTATGGACCGGACGTATCTGGAATGGAAAGACCAGTATTTTCCTCATAGGCCTCGGACTGAGTGAGCGCTGGCGATTACATTGAGCAGCTCGTGAAGAATATCCTCCTCAAATGTCGTCGCCCATATCTTCTTGGAAACTTTGTACTGCTACAGTATTGGGTGCCACCACATGGAATCGAGGGCATTGGAGAAGCTATCCCCTATTTGGAATAAAAGGGGGCCGAGTACCTAAAGAAGGTGAAATATCCAAGTAGGTCACCTGAAGAAAAGTGACTTTTTTCTGCCCCCCCCCCGCTGTATACAGGGGAGGGGGCCAAATTTTTCTCCTTGACATTCGAGGCGTTGTAAGTAACATATTGAATTCTTATCGGATATTTTCACCACCATATTAAAGAGCATATCAAATACTATAACGATACTCCGCCACAGCCTTCTGGAGGAGCGCCGTCGAGAGATTCTGCCACGCGACCGTAAGTGGGTGCCTGAGTTCAGCGAGATCGTTGATTTCTCCGCCACCCTAGACCACGCTATTGGACTCCGCCCGAACTGGGTAATTGGTAGAATTCAGGTCAGATGACCTGATTGAATGTTCCACCTTCGTCAGGTACTCAGCGCCCTTCCATTCCAAGTAGGCAAGAGTTTTCCCGACGCCCTTTGATTCCATGTGGTGGCACTCAATGCTGTAGCAGTACAAAGTTTCCAAGGAGGTACGGGCGACGACATGTGGGTGGATATTCCTGTATACAGCAGGCAGACTACCTCTGCAGAATGGTCATGTGGACGAGCACAGAAGAGCGTTGAACCCCGCTGCTTACCCACGAAGCTGTTTCGCCCGCATCTCACCCTTACGCATGCGAGTAATACTCCATTCGTCGGTATGAGTGTACTGCATAGACATTTGGCACAGCCGAAGAAGAAAATAGCTCAGAACATCAGAGGTGCATCAGCGCCTGGGATAGTAGGTCAAAATGGGCGTAAATCTCTGCCCTGACGCTTCCAAGTTAGCTCCTTAACTGTCTTGCGAGCAGATTCGACGAATGAGAGTGGAAGCACAAAAGCATGGGATCTCCGTCCATTTTGGCCTACTGTTCCGGGTGTTGAGACTGCTCCAATGTTCTGAGAATGGAACCGAAGGGAATAGATCGAATAAAACCAGAGGTTAATGCAAAAGGGGGATGTGCGTGACATTTTAAGGCTCATCGCCTAATCATAGGCTCCATTATGCCTCAATGCTGTATTGCGCGGTACATTTTATGTTTCTGAAACCCTGCCGATGGGTCCGTGCCTTCTCATCGCTGGTGTGCGAATAGCTCGATGTGAAGTTTTTTGTAGTTGTAATATATTTGAGCATTGTAATTGAAAGCCTGAGAAATGAATTATATAGAGAAGGTTGTAAATGAAATTGTCAAACAAGCCGAGTCCTTCAATAACATCGCTCAGCATCATGCAGTAAATATGTCAAATATATTTAGTAACTACTTTTTTTCTTCGACAGCGACTACTGCCGTCATCACAAGGGCTGGGTTGTGCAAGAATATTGAATATAGGCGGGACTCGAACCCGCATCTTCTACTTGACAGCTCGAGTGCGCTATCAGGTACGCCACCAAGTTTGTTCACAAAGCCTCTCAACCCTAACGTTTCTGTGTCAAGCGCTTTATAGCACGTCACTGGAATAAGTTGATGAGCCGAATCAGACGAATCATGACAAATCAATTACGCATGATGAAGCCTTCAGGCTCACGATCAGTAATCTTATACGCGGGCTGCACCTCGGTCTACCAATACTTAAGCGCCTGCGAATACTGTAAAGCTATAGCCCTGATAACCGTAAAGCTTTGACGTAGAGCGTCTGTGCAGCATAAACGCTTAACGTGACATAAACACTCGTAATCCAGCGTTCTCGGGAAAAACTTTTCGTAGCGCGAACTGCATGTAAGCAGCACTTATTATAATAAAACAAGCTATTTGAGTGAGCGGCGCTTAACAATAATGCTTAAGCTTACAATTTGACGGACCCAATTGATGGTGCGCTATGCAATGCTGAAGGGAGGCCCATGGCAGGCGAAGGGTGCGCATCCTCTAGGGTTGTGAACATTCTGAAAAGGCTACGCTGTCTATCTGTTCAATTGATGGAGTTTCTTTCGAAAAAGGTCCAGCAGCGAAAATTTTGCCGAGAGATTCACTTTTGAGGATTCCATAGCTATAATATAAGGCGTTTCCCATCTGAGCCATTCTACTGTTGGTATACGCCATTTCGTGCCAACCAATGGGGTTCATGTTAATTTGGCGAGATGCTGGAAGCAAGAGTGGTCACGGGGAACAAATGGAAGACGCTAACTGAACACTGCTGACTACTACAGAACAACTAGGAGCGGAAGTGTGAGTTGTCATTTCGTCGGAAGAAATTCATCTCATTTGAATTCCGACTATGAAATATGAAATCGTAGCATGATTTCAATATCATGCAAATATCAATAGATGTCAAGCGAACCAAGCCTCTCGTTGGTGGTGGCGGAGGTTGCGCTCCCAGTCCGTTTTAGTGCTTCTGTGAAAAAGACAGAAAACAAACTCTATTTCCCTGCTTTCTGATTCTTCTGACATTGACCAGCTAATTTACCGTGTCGGTAAGCTCCTTCGTTTGCTCCTTCACGCCCTTCCGCCATCCGAATACTTTTTCGCAATGACGAAATTCAATGACAGCTTCCCAATGGTCAAGTGGTCCCACGAAATGCCTTCGTGGCATTCGGTATCTGTTGTCCCGCTTCGCCAACAAAAAGAAACCACTGTTCGTCACTCGACGAGAAAATCAATTGAGACGCGTGTTATTGTAAACCACTGGCAACCAGATTGCCATTTAACTCTGCAAGGCACGCTTACGAGTGTATCACTTTTCGTTCACTGGCACCGAGAAAAAGAATTGAGACGTGTGGTTTTTACTGGCAACCGATCGCAAACCAGATTACATTAACTCTACAAGACACGGCTTCACGAAGAAGGAGTTCGTGTGCACCAGGCGTTGCCTGCGAGCCGTCGTAGAGCGATATTCGCATGCTCTTGCCAGGAACTGGTTGAACAAGCTCGCGAATACTAGGCTTGGGCTTGCCGACGTAAGACAAACTCCATCAATGCGGCCCGCTGCTTAAGGCTTCTGTTCAGAATACTGAAGAGTTTTTTTTTTGCTTCTGTTCTCTACTGGAAGCTTTGGGCACAGTTCACGGATTGAGCATGCTGCTATCAATAAGCACTATGTGGTTCAACTAAGAATATCGATCAGGGTGGGCATTAGATTCACCTCACCGCAACTGCTGAATATACTGTTTTCCTCGGCTGTGCTGACTAATATTAGGCCAAATAGCGAAAGTCCATCGAGAATGGATTGAAATAGTGTGATTCCGCGAAATCACTGATCTTGGGATACTGCCATCCCTTCGTGTCGGCCTTCTTTCAACATTCCGTGAAGCGGCTTTGTTTAGGCAATCAAGAGAAATTTCGGTCCCGTTGTCACAGTAACTTTAAAAAGCAATTGAGTCGGATAGTCACTCAAGCAATGTGAAAAACTTAGAAATTACAAAGTTAGATGTGTTGTTTGTGGCTTTTTCGGAACCACTGCTAATGCATCGTTAACTGACAGGGGAAAAGAATCGCATCCCACTTTACAAAACACAGATGCGTGGCAGTTTACTGGCAAGCAACAAGATATATCATATCAAAATTAATAGAGCAACATTGGTTGGATGTGAAAAGTTTGCACATGGGAAACGGTATATCCAAACTGCTTTTTGCCACTACAGGGGGGCAAAAAAAAAAGTCCATTTTGTCCATCCTCGAACTTGTTCAAGCGCTATAAGTTACACTTTATCAAATTTTTTGATCGGAACGCAATGTTTTACTACGCAATTATTAAAGAGCACATTAATACTATATATGATACTCCGCCACAGGCCTTCTGGAGGAGGCGCGCATCGAGGAATGGCCGCGCGAAGGAGTGGTACCGGAGTGCAACGAGATCGTCGATTTCTCCGCCACCGGTAGATCACCCTCTTAAAGTCCGCCGCGAGGAAGTAATGTGAGTGGTTCAGGATCAGGGGACATACTTAGTATTAAATCTTCTCAGGTACGAAACGCCCTTCCTTCGAAGTAGGCGGGGAGTTTTTCCAAACCCTTTAATTATCCATGTGGTGGCAACCAAACCTGTAGCAGGCACAAGATCTCCAAGGGCAGGTACGGCGACCACATGTAAAGGAGGATATATCTTCTCGAGTACTTGATGTAACGCCAGCGTCACCTTCCAGTCGGGGGTCTACAAAAGAAGAATACG